GTCACATGGTGTCACCTGGTGTCACATGGTTCCACCTGGTGTCACATGGTGTCACATGGTTCCATCTGGTGTCACATGGTCCCACCTGGTGTCACATGGTTCCATCTGGTGTCACCTCGTGTCACATGGTTCCATCTGGTGACACCTGGTGTCACATGGTTCCACTAGTGTCACCTGGTGTCACATGGTTCCACTAGTGTCACCTGGTGTCACATGGTGTCACCTGGTGTCACATGGTTCCACCTGGAGTCACCTGGTGTCACATGGTTCCACCTGGTGTCACATGGTTCCACCTGGTGTCACATGGTTCCACCTGGTGTCACATGGTTCCACCTGGTGTCACCTGGTTCCACCTGGTGTCACCTGGTTCCACCTGGTGTCAACTGGTGTCACATGGTTCCATCTGGTGTCACATGGTCCCTCACAAACCTACGACTTGTCCCCCATTTGGTTGGTCTGGAGGTGGTCTGTGTTCAGACAATTGGACAGTTGGACCAGGTGTGGACCAGGACCTGGTCCACGACGCTGTAGAAACTAAACGGACAAAAAAAACTTAAAAAAAAAACAAACAAAAAAAAAAACAAAAACTCGACAACAGGTCAAAAGGTCAGCGGCGGGTCACCGTCCTCACGTCTGTCCTGTCCTCGTCCACAGCACGGGCAGCAGCAGCAGCAGCAGCAACAGCAGCAGCAGCAGCAGCAACAGCAGCAGCAACAACAGCCGCAGCAGCAGCAACAGCTGAGCCGCGGCAGCCAAGAGGACAAGCAGAGGGACGGGGAGAAGGACGGCGAGAAGGACGAGGAGAAGAACGAGGACAAGGAGGACAAGGAGGACGGCATGAAGTGAGTCCTGCCGGAGACGCCTTCAGGCTGCAGCGGTTAGAGTGGGGGGGACGGTTGCACAGAGATGGGAGACAGTTGGACAGAGATAGGAGACAATGGACAGAGATAGGAGACAGTTCAGTTGGACAGAGATAGGAGACAGTTGGACAGATAGGAGGCAGTTGGACAGTGGACAGAGATAGGAGACAGTTGGACAAAGGTAGGAGACACCTGGACAAGAGATAGGAGACAATGGACATGAGATAGGAGACAATGGACATCTGACATTTGGGCAGTGGACAGATTGGAGACAGTTGAACAGTGGACAGAGATAGGAGACAGTAACAGTTGGACAATGGACAGAGATAGGAGATAGTGGACATTTAGTGGCCAGAGATTGGAGACAGTTAGACAAGAGATAGGAGACAGTTGGACAGGTGAATAGTGGACAGAGATAGGAGACAGCCAACAGTTGGACAGTTGGGCAAAAATAGGAGACAGCAGACAGAGATAGGAGACAGTTGGACAGAGATAGGAGACAGTTGGACAGTGGACAGAGATAGGAGACTGGGGACATTTGGACAGTGGCCAGAGATAGTAGACAGGTGGACAGGTGAATAGTGTACAGAGATAGGAGACAGTTGGACAGAGATAGGAGACAGCTGGACAAGAGATAGGAGACAGTTGGACAGAGGTAGGAGATCGTGGCCAGAGATTGGAGACAGTTAGACAAGAGATAGGAGACAGTTGGACAGGTGAATAGTGGACAGAGATAGGAGACAGTTTGACAGACGTAGGAGACAGTTGGACAGAGGTAGGAGACAGTTGGACAGTGGTCAGAGATAGTAGACAGTCGGACAGGTGAATAGTGTACAGGGATAGGAGACAGTTTGACAGACGTAGGAGACAGTTGGACAGAGATTGGAGACAGTTGGACAGAGATTGGAGACAGCTGGACTTTGGACAGTTGGGCAAAAATAGGAGACATTTGGACAGTGGTCAGAGATAGTGGACAGGTGAATAGTGTACAGAGATAGGACACAGTTGGACAGTGGACAGAGATAGGAGACAGTTGGACAGAGGTAGGAGACAGTGGACAGAGATAGAAGACAGCTGGACAGGTGAATAGTGTACAGAGATAGGAGACAGTTGGACAGTGGACCAAGATAGGAGACAGTTGGACAGTGGGCCAAGATAGGAGACAGTTGGACAGGTGAATAGTAGACAGTGACAGTTGGATAGTGGACAGAGATAGGAGACTGTGGACATTTGGACAGCGGTCACAGTTAGGAGACACTGGTCCCGGACCACGTCCTGGTCCGGGACCAGTGTCTCAGTGGACTGCAGTCCGGGACACGTTACCATAGAGACTGGACCGGTCGAACCACAGACGGTCACTTTTTTTTTTTTTTTCTTCGCCGTTTGTCCACTCAGGGACGACACGTCCGGAGAGGACGCCGAGGACAAGGAGCCCACGGTGGCCTTCAAGGGTCGGCGCACGGCCAACAGTCAGGGCCGCAGGAACGGGCGAGTGACCCGGTCCATGACCAGTGAGGTGGAGGAGACGACCGCGCCCCTCGTCAGCACCGAGCTAAGTACGTCTGCTAGCATCACGGCGCACGGTCGGACTGGCTACATGTGTACGATGGTACTGACCAGGGGACTGACCAGGTGACTGACCAGGTGACTGACCAGGTGACTGACCAGGTGACTGACCAGGTGACTGACCAGGTGACTGACCAGGTGACTGACCAGGTGACTGACCAGGTGACTGACCAGGTGGTCAGTACCAGGTGACTGACCAGATCAAACTCAGATCAAACTTAAATCAAACTTAGATCAAACTTAAATCAAACTTGAATCAAACTTAGATCAAACTTGAATCAAACTCTGGTCAAACTTAAATCAAACTTAAATCAAACTTAGATCAAACTTAGATCAAACTTAAATCAAACTTGAATCAAACTTAGATCAAACTTGAATCAAACTCTGGTCAAACTTAAATCAAACTTAAATCAAACTTAGATCAAACTCTCATTAAACTTAGATCAAACTCTGATCAAACTAAAATCAAACTTAGATCAAACTCTCATTAAACTTAGATCAAACTCTGATCAAACTCTGTTCAAACTTAGATCAAACTTAGATCAAACTCAGATCAAACTCAGATCAAACTTAAATCAAACTTAGATCAAACTTAGATTAAACTCAGATCAAACTCTGATCAAACTCAGCTCCAGGTGAGGTCACGACCTTTGGTTTATCCACTGGATGATCTGCCTGCAAAGTAATATTCCCTCCTCCTGTTGTTTTTTTCCATTCTATTTTATTTTCTATTTTCAACTTGAATTTCCTGGCAAACACATTAAGGAAAAAACAAACAAACAAAGAAAACAATTAGTTGGTGGATTAATGACAAGTTTTCAGCATCAGTTTGGAAAACTTCCAGTTACTGCTATACATTTAAACAAAAAAGAAGACATACATCCATGAAGGAGGGATCATATGTCAATGAAGTCAGTGTTCATTTTTGTATTTACTTCTTCTCCATTGCTTACAGCCAAGCTGCTTTGATTCTTTTTTTTTTGTTTCGTTCCGGCTCATCTTAACATCTGACATCCATGAGCCTGAGGAGCCACTAACCCCGAGGAGTGTAATCCTCTCCATATTTATTGTATAAGTAAACACTAATGGAGATAAGCAGTATAGATCTGAGAAGAATTATTTCTGACAGAAAATCCATTTTGTCTACACAGCAAGTGTGCAGCTTTAGACGCTTTCACAAACACATCCCTGTTTTCCTCTGTGAATTCCTGTGTCATCAACAATGTTCATCCTTCTCACACAGAATTAGCTTCTCCAAAACAGCCAATTAACAAAAACGACACCCTCTGATCCTGTCTGCTGCTGGTTTGGCCAACTCTGTGATAATAATAAAATTCACTCCTGGCAGGTTTAGTTTGTGGAATAATTATCTTAGAAACATGTGAGCACAGGACACAAATACACACACATAAACGAGTGGTTCATTATTTTCCAATACAAAAAATAAAATAGAATTTGATCATGTGATATTCTCAGGAGAAGCATATTTAATTAAAGTTATAGGTATGATGATGCCAGTGCAGTTAAGACTGTGATGCTTCATAAAACTGCTTTTTTTCCACACAGTTGTTGCAAATGACCACATATTTACTGACTTTGTATTAAACAATAATATATGAATGCATAGTGGAATAATTTCATATACAGAGAGACTCATTCGGTTTGTGTGTTAAATATTTTCCAAATTAATTAGAGAATAAAGTGTTCATTTCTAGTTCCCTACTCGGTTGTAATTATTTCACTTTCTGCCTGAAACACAGAACAGTCCAACACTTCTGATTCTCATTCAGGTTCAGCTTCAACCCCCATTCTTCTCCCTCAGGCCTTTATTACATGGTATTTGATGTGGCACATGAACAGGCTGCATGCATCACCTTCCAACAATTTTTCTTCTTCTTCTTCTTTCCTTCCTCTTGTCAGTCACTCCCTAACCGACAGCTGCCCCAACCCCTAACCCCCCGCTCTCTGTGTGTTTTTTCTCTCCGCCCCCTCGCTAACTCGCTGCTTCTCCATTTTTTTTTTTTTTTGTTTTTTTTTTCTCAACAGCCAATCTGGAAATGAATGAGAGCTCTCGCTGGACCGAAGAAGAGATGGAAACTGCCAAAAAAGGTAAACGCCGAAAAAGATACGTTACCTTTGTCCCCGAGGAAGTGTCGGCCCATGGCGGCCGCTCTGCCTAGCTAGCGCTAACGTATATAAGAAAAAAAAAGATAAGATTCTTGTATTGGGGGTTGTGTGTTTTTTTTTTTTTTTTTTTTGGTGTCTCTGTGTGTATTTTGCGCAGAACTTGCGTCCACTTCCTGTTCACGAAACAAGCCAGCGCCACGTGCCGCGTCCGCGTCCGCCTGGCAACCGGGGTCGGTTGCTCTTTGGAGCCGCTCCCTTGCGGGTCGAGGCCGGCGCGGTCGTAAAAAAGTCGGGCTCTTATCAGTCAACACATTAACCCCGCGGACGCTTTGTTGTTGTCGTCGCCGTCGTCGGGTTTGCGGACGCTGTCAGTGCTCGTCAAGGGGGTCACGTGACCTCGTCTGTAGCTGTGTGGTCACAGTCTGTGGTTTCGCACTTCTTCCTCTTCTTCTTCTTCTTCCTCTTCTTCTTCTTCTTCTTCTTCTTCTTCATCTTCTTCATCTTCTTCTTCTTCTTCTTCTCCTCCTGACGACGCCGTTGACACTTCTCCCTTTCGGCCGTTCTCAAACTGTGGCGCGTGTACCCTAGGAGGTACTCCCCCATGTGGATTTGTGTCGCCGTTGCTTAGATGGACGTAACCTTCGCGTTTTGTTTTTTTTTTTTTGTTTTTTTTTTTGTATTTTTTTCATTTTGTTCACGATACGATTTTTTTTTTTTTTTTTTTGAATGAGCTCCAAATTCTGACCAATGACGGGTATTTGTGCAGGTACTAGCTAGTACTGCACTCGCAC